GTAGGAACGCCACCACCCTCTAGGATCAAGGCGAAGGTGCAGAGCCTAAACGGTGGGAGGTGAGTAGATCAGACCCACCACAAAGTGGTCAAAGACCGAAATCCCATTAACTGCATCCATGTTACCCTCGTTCCTAATTAACTGTGGGTCGCAGCACGGCTGGAAAAATTCCTTCCACTTCCAAGCAGGACTTAAACCTGGTACCCTCTGTTTCTCAATCATGGTCTTGGACCATCCCACTATGCCTGCCTGCCACATATAAAGGGGAAGTAAACCCACCAGATGTAGTCTTCGGGGTGCTGAGTCGAATGTCGAATGGTCTTGTAGTCCATCGGCCAAGTCTCAAAATCGAAAGTGGTGATGCACTGAGCTTCCAACTAAACGCGACCATACCCAGCACGTAGAGAATATATCAGAGAACACTATTCCGTTTGTTGGACGTGCCGAATTCAGTCCAGGGCGTCGATACGAAGCGTTCTTCGTCGCCGAGTTTTTTACTGTGCGCTCCATTTGAGAGTGCGCAGAGTTCTGATCGAGAGTTTTTTGAGCAGATTTTCAAATTTTTGAGGCTGTCAGCTGACAGCTGTCAACCCTAAATGGCACTTAGTATGTGACAGGCAATAGGTTTTGGTGCCTCCGTATGCCTTCTAATAAGTTCTATCTTCCTTCGTTTCACTTCGCTGCTTCGCCCACCACCTCAGGAGATGACAGCGTACCTGCACTAGTCAGCTCTCGCTAACCCTGTCTCTCTTTCTCCGTCTTAGCGCTCGTCATTCGTGTCCTTCTGCTGGGGCGAGCTTGATACTGTTGTGTCGTAGTTTTTAGGCAATAGTGGCTGTTGTTCGCGTGACGATCAGGATTTATGGAGAAAGACGACGACTCGCCAAGTTCCCATGCAGCCACAGACGGCGTAGCAATTCTTACCGCCAACCCTTCGAGCAACGGAACCGGCCTGAGTTGGAAATCGTGTCTGTGTAATTGTGCCACGATACGGATGAAACACACATGTGACGAGATGAAGATAATCTCAACAGGCTGACGGAAATCCAACAGGCTCACGGGAACGCTGCAGTTATGGTCGGAGACGCGGAGTTATTTAGTCACTGGTAAATGTTGCATCGAGTGCTGTGTGCTCCAACACAATTGTAAAAATCATGAAAAAGCGAAAATAATGCAATGGTGGGGCTGAGTGGTGTTCTGTGGAGGAGACGTCGCTGTCTCAGCATTCAACGCCGGACCCTGTATTTCAAGTCTGTGGTCATGCTCGATCATAAGTTCCTGTATGGCTCCAGTGCCTTCTCAGCATTGTTGGCGGGTAAGCACCTGGATTGTCTCCAAGTACTGCGGCTCTGGTGAGGATGTACGGGTGCTCGCCGTGCACCCCTGCCGGCAATCTGCTAGTGAAGCTTGGTACCTACTGTGTCCGGGAGATTTTCATCCAGAAGCTGATCTTTCTAGGCTGGAGCTGCTGCTACTCCTGTGCTAGCCCTCAACCACTGGCGCTCCTACTCGGCTCCAGTGTGGGCCATTAACCACCCTGCCCGATTTCGCACTGTTGCTATTCCACACCGTCAGCATTTAACTCTGAGGTCAGACCTTGATCCCTCCCACCATATGCTATCTGTCTGTCTGCCTCTCTCTCACACACAGATGTGCGCGCATACACACAAACACACATGCACACACACACACATGCACACACACACACATACACACACACACACATGCACACACACACACATGCACACACAGTGACACATACACATAGCCAACTTCTCTGTGTTTGGTGATCATCATCTGTTTTCTGATGTGCAAGCTCACCTCTGATGCCGATTACTTCCTTGCTTAGACCCGGTCTGCTATTAGACCAGTCTGCTCTCCCTTCACTCGCTTCTAAATCCTACTTGGAGCAGTAAGGTTGTGTCACTGCTCCTCCTGATGTCATTGTTGTGAAAGCAATATCATCGCCATTGGTGGTAATTTTCCACCGTGCATGAATCATTAACAATCATCATCTATGTGTCACGGCCTAACCATCCTCGTAACTCCCCTCCTCGTGACTAGTGCTGTACCGTTGAAGCCTACTTTGCTTCAGTGTATATTCGCCCCGGGCAAAGCTCTTGTTTTGTTGTATAGTGATCTGACGCAGTGTGCTATAGCCTGTCGGGTAATATGGATAAGATTAGTACAGTCAGACCTCGCTTATCCGGTCCTCTTTTATCCGGATCCCTCGCCATCCGGAAGAAAATAGCTGGTTACAGATTTACAGCATACGTGATGCATCCAACATAACTGGTGTTTGGTTATCCGGTTTCCTCGCCTATCCGGATTTTTTTGTGGAAAACAGATGTGTGCGGTTATGCGAGGTCTGCCTGTACAGTCGGCATCGCCTATCGAGTGACCAGGTACATGTATAAGGATACTAGTTCATGTATACCGGCTTAACGATATCGGAACACAAATAGCACTATGTGTGCAATTTTCCTTTCTAAGCTCACGCTGTGCGGTGCAGATAGGTCGTGTGTCGTTGCCAACTTGCCGCATGTGCAGCAGGAAGGCACCACATGTCGACAACTACTTATACTGTACAGCATTGTGTGCTTACATGCATCTACGGCCTTGTGGATGCAATTGAGTCTCACATACATGTACATGAAATATTGCGTGTAGTGCGGCATCAGGTGTTAACATACAGTGGCTAAATATTTTTCTCGCAATAATGACCGTATTCACCACAAGTGTGTTTATGTCCAGAGCCAACTCAAGTCCTGTATTATTTATGACCATGACAACAAGACTTCCGGGCTGAAATTCTTCTATGACAGGCATGAACACTTGCCTTACAATTGTTCGTGATGGTACGAAGTACATATTCGCTGTTGCATCAATTTTGCACCATTTACATTGTAGTGCCACTAGTGGTATCACCTGCATGCGTATTGAGTCAAACAAGGTTACCTCTGTATAATTATGCTTATCGTGGCTATCAAGAGCTTCAATGCAAATTCCCAGCTGACGAATGGTGTCCAGCTTGTGTTCAGCTCAGCTGGCACTCACAACTCATAATAATTGCGTTCTAGACGCCAGATGAGATGTTTCAGCTACAATGTAGACACAACGTCCGTGTTCAAGAAAGCCGTCACTTCATCTTCTGTCCATCCTCAATAGCACGTTCAAGCAAATACGTCTGAAACACAGTAGCGACAATCCGACAGCGGCGACACGCCGTCTTCTCCGAATGAGCTTCTACCGTTCTAATTCAGATTCCCCCAAAAATGTCAAAATAAAATAATAGATTTCCACCAAGCTCGCTAGAATCTTGCGAACCGTCAACATGCAGGCATTTCAAGTGTTCGAGCGTGCGTAGATCCTGCTCAGCGGCTCAAGAACATTCGCCAAGCGAAAAAAAGTCGATGAGAAAGATGTAATGGTGGACGAAATTACGAAAATCGGAAGAAGGTATTCGACCCAGTTCGACTATCCTGGACTGGATTGGCAACGTCCAACAATCGGATTCGTATTCTATGGGGTCTCATGAGCTAGTGTGCCAAAGGGCGTTTAGTTGGAGCTTCAGTGCATCACCTTCGCCGAAAGAGGCCCTTTCTGAGATTTGGCCGATGGACTATTGGTCCGAGGAAGCTGAGACGCTCCCTTCCTCCTTTATTGCCAATCGACCTCGCGCACTTTCACCGAAACTGGGTGACTGCGCCCTAGTAGATGGGGATTTGTATGTAAAATGTCATTAAAAGCGCCATTTCGTTCTTACAAAAGCACGGATGACCGCGATTGGCCCATATATTGTAGTTGTTCGGACGCTGAGTCGACTGGTTTTGGTCCGAAAAGGCTGTGATGCAGCGTTCGGCCCTTATAATTATTCCCAATGGAACACGGGTGAGTAAGCAGTCACGTGCTCATGCGTACACCAGTCACCTGGTCACCGTGCCCGCAGGCTACAACTTTTACAACGTTCCTGTCACTCGAATTTAACCTTTGAACCTCTGAGTTGAACCTTTTTCGTTATGATTTTTTCCAGCACACACATCACACCACATACTCTGCCATGTACTTGTACTGGCTGTTGGGAACCACCCAGGATATTTCATACCACGTGCACACACACACACACACACACACACACACACACACACACACACACACACATACACACACTCACACACACACACACTACTACTACCACTACTACTACTATAGCATGACTGCCCATTGGGCAATGTCACCCCCGGAGGGGGCCAGAGTTTGGAGGGCACCGTCATTGGCAGGACTTCTGGTGCCTCGTCAAGTCTTGCTGTCGTCGGAAACGCTTTGCGCAATCCATGCAGATCAGCGGCAGTTATTCCCTATCGGCTGCAGCAAGACGTTTTCCACGGTTGCAGTTATGGCGGTTAAAACCAGCCCGGGACTTGAAGCAGCGATTGCAGCATTGACAATGTTGAAAGCAGCAACTAGCGAGAGACGCCGTCAATGCCGTATCTACATGTTCAGGAGGTGCAGGCTGGCAGCGATGAACTGCAAGCCCACCCTTACTTCGGAACCATCGGCCGCAACTGACGCACTGTGCTGAACCACGCTGTTGGTGGACGGGAAGTTGGCGCTCAGCCAAACACTTGTGCCGTGCCTTGTCTTGAGGTCGAGAGAAAGCCCGGTCGCAAGAGGAGCAGAGTACGGATTTCTCTACTGCCTGAGGAGGCTGAATAACCAGAATCTGCTCTCGCCAAGCTGACCGGTCTTGTGCGCAATCAAACCAGTCTGGAATGGACTTCGTGTCAGTAGCCACAACGTCTCTCCACCTGCGCCTGGGACCGCAGAAGGGGCGCGCAGCCAACAAACGACCAAACAAAAGCTGCAATGGGACACGGTCCTCTGACATCCGAGCCACATGACCAAGCCACTCTAAACGACGATGGCACATCTTAACAGAGAGTGGCGCTGGGTCACTCCAGTGACGACGTAACTGCGCAGACGTGATGCGATCGGATTGCTGCTGACTGCAAGGGATGGCTAATATTGTGCGGATGCAGCGATGATGGAAGGCATCCAAACGTCTACTATTAGCTTTCAAGGGCGTCCAACACTCACTGCCGTACAGCAAAATGGACACGACACAGGCCACGTATAGCTTTCGCTTACTGATTAATGATAGCGAGCGATCCGACAAGACTGGAAGAAGAGCTCCAAAGGCTTTGGAAGCCTCAGCTATGCGGCGACTGACGTCAGTGGAGGAGCGGGCATCCAGTGTCACGACGGACCCCATATAAATGAAGGATGGAACGTGCTCCACAGTATCACCGTTGACGTTCATATCGGCTCTATCAGGCATGTTGACTTGGCTACCTGCCACGAGAAATTTCGTTTTTGCAGCGTGGACGCAGAGGCCAAAGGAAGAGGCAACCGTGCAGAATGTTTCAAGGCACTTCTCAGCACCAGGGCGGTCTTCAGCGAGCAAGACCGCGTCATCTGCGTACACACACACACACACACACACACACACACACACTGGACACACACACACACACCTCAGACCTCAAACCTGCCCATCGGGGAAGCGATGATAGCGAACAGCTATGTTAGACATAGCAACATGTGCTGGAATTACACCATTCAACAGCTTGCAACGCTGGTGAATTGACCGCCACTAATTTTAGCCTGGTATCTACCACACAGCTGATTGAAGTGGCTTATTCTGGCCAGTGGATCTCTATTTTTCATTTTTCCATTTTTCCCTTTTTTCATTTTTTTAGACACACACGCCACCCCACATACTTCGGCATACACTGGCTGTTGGTAGCCACCTAGGATTATGAAAGAAGAGCTAGGAGAATGAGAAAGAGAAGAAAGACATGTGCGACCATCATCGTCGGGAATTGAACCCGCAACCTCTCGATTGGAAATCGACTGCACATACGACTGCACCATATGGGACACACAGTGACACACCATTGGACCATTGGACGCCCATCGCCGGAGGCGATGATAGCGATGCTACAGCAGAAGCCATAGCAACTTGTGCTGGGATTGCACCATTCAACAGCTTGCAAGGCTGAAGAATTGGCCGCCACTATTCAGCCTGGTCTACACCACACAGCTATGAAGTGGCTTTTTCTGGCCAGTGAATCCCTACTTTTTGGTCTTTTTATTTTTTTCCCCCACACACATCACACCACATACTCCAGCATGCACTGGCTGTTGGTAACCACCCAGGAGAATGAAAGAAAAGTCAGGAAGAGTCTGAGAAAGAGAAGAAAGACGTGTGTGACCATAATCGTCGGGAATCAAACCCGTAACCTATCGATTGGAAATCGCTGCACATACCACTGCACCATATGGGACACACACACAAACACACACACGCACACGCATACTCAAGCACACAGATACATGTACAGGTGGAATCCTGATAATTCGAACCTCCAAATGCCAGAAAAAACTTCTAATTATCCAAACATGAACCCACAACACAATAGGTATGTCAAAATGCTCCCATTGTCACGCAGAGTTGCGCTATGGACCTTAGACACATATCTCACGGATACTGAACTGACAGGCACAGCCAGCTCATGCAAACTGAACTGACCAGTACAGTGTACAGTGAACTTCGAATTATACGTTGCTAACTTCGAATTATCAGCACAAATCCCACACATTTTCTATGTAAGTGGAATCCGTGGAACTTCTAATTAACGGATATGTCCGGTTCGAGGTTCGAATTATAAGAAAATTTTATGTGAGAATCGTATTGACAGAAATCGGTCCTGTATATGTAAGTCCGCTGCAAGCGCCCACTTCGCAGCAAACGCTCACCCCAGCGGGTCCATACTATTTTCGTCTTTTTCAGGTCAATTTAGTTGTAGAAAACTGGCATGAAGGTCGAATGCGTACAAGAACGACTGTAATGCCTACACACTGCCTATGTCTTACCAGGATCCTGTGCAAAAGCGATTGTCATTATCTTGCTGCAAAGAAAAACTTCGGTCGGGATTTCCTATGCATTCGATAAATGAGTCGTCTTTGTTATCATAGTTCGTTCTCCTGATGATGAGCCAGGCCCGAAAATTTGGTGTACAGTAATGTAAATGTAAATTTGAATTTGAATCGCAGTGAAGAGACCGTTTTTGGAGTTTGGAGTTGAGAAGTGAAGTTCCTAAAAGTTCATTCTCCATTATTTTGGTTTTCAAATCATGAAATTTCTGCAGTGCCATGAATGTGACCTGGTGACGATGTTGCGCTTTCAGAACGGAACAGTGATTGTCCTGACGAAGCGTCGTTCAATGACTTGACCGATCGCAGTATTGCAGTTGCAAGTCGAACAGGGGAGATCATGTCACAAAAGCTACACCTACAAAGTCGCTACCAACTTGTTGAAAGTCTGAAGTGCTCGAGACAACCCCTTGCCTTTGCGTGTTGCGTGATTTGGAAATGATGGCTTGAAACACCATCATAAGTATATTTGGTTCCTGCAATACTCTGCTCTTTGCTACCTTGTTATTCGGAAGAACAACCCATTTGGATTTGCGAAACACAACAAACAACATCATAAAATCACTACGAGCTAGCTCGTAGCTAGTGCCCAAAGAGACTTTGAAACCAGGAAAGTGGACATTGTTTACCGTAGCAAAGGTACGCTTTCCAACGGCCGAAGAGAGTTGGACAGCTTGTGTCTTTGTGGATAACTCGAAACAATTTGCGCTAAGACGCTGCAAAATCGCTCCGATTTTGGATTTCATTCCACAGAATGTGGTACCGACAAGATGCGGTCCTTGACCGCGGTCCTTGACCGCATTTCCGTCACTTCGCAGGGGCCTTTCTTCCGTTTAGTTTGTTCCCGCCCTCCCACCCTGGACTGAAGGGTGTTTATAGACATTGTGTTGATGTGTGTGTTTTTGCCTAGGGCAGTTACGACTGCGGTGTTTTTCTTTGTTGGTCTTTTAGAAACACTTTAGGGGTGGTGTGCGCGTCGTGGGCTGTTGTATGGTTACATTCAGCTTCAGAGGGTTATTGACAGGGGATGAATTGGCATGGGGCAGAATGCAAGATTGAATTGCAAGATTGAATTGAAGGGTTGGGATTTTCAGGGGTCATCAAGGCATTGTGTTAACTGAAGCTGGATGATGACCTGTGTGGTGTGCCGGTGTGAAGATGATGTGCAAGGGTGTTCTCTTGCGTTTCTGAGGTGTGCGCTTTTACATTTCCCTATTGTTATGCCGTTGTTGGCGTGTTGTGTGCTGTGTAATTATCAGCATTTTTGATTGACTGCTGTGTCGATCGTTGATATATTTTTGTAAATGTACAAATAATTATAGGAAAAAAAAAAAGGAAAAAAGGAAAAAATTCTAAATAAAGGCCATTGCCGAGCCACCGTGCTCTCGCCATTGCCGAGCCACCGTGCTCTCAGCAGAGACTTCTGTGTGTTGGTGTTGTGAGAGTGTACCACAAAGACGCGCTCTTCGCGCCACGGTGTGAGATGCACTTTCGTACAGTGGGAGTGACAGTGCATGGGGTCAGTGCGTACAGGCCAGCAGATCTTGCACAATGCGGTGGGCATTTGCAGCGGACTTTACGGTACACAAACACACACACACACACATACACACGAAAAAACAAACACACACACTATTGGACCAGACATAGTGGTTACAACAATGTGTCCTGTTTTTCTTGTGTATTATTCGCTGTCTGTAGATTTCATCACAAGGGTTGTCAAGAGCAACCTACCACAGATCATCGCCAACCTAGCAACCGTACCAGATATAGTGCTCACTGAAGTATTTGGAGATTTCGACCTGGATGAAGAGCATATCAGCACTTATCGAACGGCATGTGAGGTGGTCGGTCATGTGCGTGATCTTCCACTTTGCTGTCAAGCAGCAATTGCGCGGTCTTTCCTGTACCCAGTGACTGGCTTTATGTTTCTCTTTTATCGCTTGCACCATCCTGAGCTCTCTCAACGACTGGATAAAGATTTCCTGATCAAGATCGACCGTGAGGCAGGATGTGATGGGAGTAGTCTTGTCCAACTGTTGAATTTGGCTATTGATTTACAGAGCGATAGTAAGTGACAATTTGAAGGCTGCAATGCAAGTTAAAGAATGGTCATGATGATGAATCCTAGTCAATGGATGATGCTTGTCTTTGTCTTAGTGTGCATACCAGCTGAAGGTTATATGAAAATTCAGTTGTCTTATACCAGCAGAAATGTTCTAAATGATATTTGCTGTGTTCCAATTTGTTTAGTATACGTTATGTTCTAGCCTTGGTTTCCATTGTGAGGAAAATGAGGAATTTTATTGAAATCGTCCATACCTAATCATAATGGCACTTTCTCCCAGTGACTTGACTTGACACTTGACTGACTCACAGCCGCCATCCAGATCACACAAGAAGTCCATTGAACTTTCGAAGTCGGCGGGAAAGCGCTAGCTTCAGTGTTGGGAGCAACCCATGTTCTGATGAAATGATCGCCGAAGTCGCAAACTCTATTTCATAGCATAGTAAAGTAGCCTAAAACCTGCCTGTCATGTTTGTGGAAATCACCAGCATATTGTTTAGTAATGTCAAAATGCCAATTTTCTGAACTTAATGTACCGGCAATCCAAGAAATACTCGTAGAGAATTCTATTGTGATTCTTCTGATCTCACCTTCATATACAGCAGGTACCGCAATGTCAATGATGAATGATGAAGGTGTGATTGCAGTGAGAGAAGGACCAGGAGATGCAGTTGAAGGTCAGTACTGTCCTTGTAGTGGTCCTCCATTAATGCACGACCCTATTTTAGGGGAATGCATACTCAAAGTTTGTCAGCCCGAGCCTTACGCTCGCATTCCAGCGCAAGCTTTACAGCGTCCTGTACATTAGGACTGCCTTTCTCAGCGCGGCGAAAACTGAGCGTCCATAGAGTTAACGAGGAAATTCTCAGCCTGACAATAAATCCCACTGAAAATTTGAGCGCTGTGGAAATCAGTGCCCACAAAGTCAGAACAAAATACACCAATGGTAGAGAAAGGCGCGCGGTTAACCCATTCACTGCTGAGCCCGAATATATTCGGGATTCAGAATGACGTCAGGACGCTGAGCCCGAATATATTCGGGCTGACAGGCTATCGTACTGTACTAACTTCTGTGTTTCAGCGTAGGGCTCAAAGAGACTCCAGAGTCTCTAGACACATCATAGGCAACGTATGTACTCGTGGACATCGCGTGCCGCGACCTTCGCCGTGCTCGGATCGCTCTTGCACGTGATTCGAAAGACTGAAATATTTTTTGGAAAAATGTTGACTTTCGTCTTGCGTGGGACCACGTGTCCAAGATGTCAAGGAGAACACGCATCCTTTCTCTTGACGAGGCGATAAATGTTGTGGCCCTTGACCCCAACAGCGATGTTGAGCCAGATGTAGACGACCAGGATGACAGTTGGTACGCGGATGGGGACGCAGATGACGATATTGATGACGAACTTGACCTTGCTCAACACGCTGATGATGATGTCGCGGAAGCGGCCCCCGCACTGCAAGCTGATGCCAACGCAGGAGGTGCAGATACTTTAGAGCAATCGGAGAGATCACACAAGCCGGCTGTTGAAGCGCTGGTGGCAGGAGACTCGGGACAAGAAGGTAATTGTCAAAAGTGCAATTGTTGAAAAATTCAAAAAATTCAAAAAAATTGAAATTTGAATTTAGTACAAATCGAATATTGCGTGACACTTGTAGCATGCTTGCCATTAGTCATGACGATTCCAGATGCTATGTACATGCTGAAAGTATATGTACCTCAGTAATTATTATTTGTGCAATGTTCATGGTCAATGCGATAATTTTGTACTAGTATTCAGAGCATCATGTGGTGTCAATTCGTATCTCTATAAATGTGCAATTGCATACTGGTATGCAGAACGAAGCCCTAAAAATATACATAGATATTTTTTACTTGATATGCATGTGTAATGTGTGTGTGTGTGTGTGTGCGTGCATGCGTGTGTGTGTGCGCGCATGTGTGTGCGTGTGTGCGCGTGCATGCGTGTGTGTGCGCATGCGTCTGTGTGCGCGCATGCGTCTGTGTGCGCGCATGCGTGTGTGCGCGCATGCGTGTGTGTGTGCGTGTGTGCGCGCGCACGCGCATGTGTGTGTGTTTGTGTGTGCGCGCGCATGCGCACATGTGTGTGTGTGTGTGCCATTTCTTGTCTCTTAGGCATATGGTGTATGGATGACAATCACCCCGACATACCGGACTTCACGGCAGAAACAGGATTGAATGTCGAGCTTCCTGAGAGCGCCACACCGTACGACTTCGTCAAGCTCTTCTTCACGCCGGAACTCTGGGACTTGCTTGTGGTGGAGACAAACAGGTATGCCACACAGTACCTGGCAACGCGCAGTCAAGACCTTCCCCGGCACAGTCGTCTAAGGAAGTGGACACCAGTTACCGTGCCGGAAATGAAGATGTTCATGTCGCTCTACCTGCTGATGGGCATCATCGTAAAGCCGGAGATTGATATGTATTGGAGCACCAATCCAATGGTCCACACTCCTATCTACAGCTCATCGATGGCTCGGGACAGATGGTGCGCTATTCTATCATTCTTCCACTTTGCGGATAACGAAACAGCCGACGCGGATGACAAGCTTGCTAAACTCCGTCCACTGATCACGTTGACCGTACGCCTCTTCGAGACTGTGTACACACCTTCCAAGCAGATCTCAATCGATGAGGAGCTTGTTGCCTGGAGAGGCCGTCTCCAGTTCCGTCAGTACATACCGTCCAAAAGAGCTCGCTTCGGTGTCAAGATTTTCGCACTCTGTGAATCGAGTGGCTACATGTCAAGCTACATCGTCTACGTTGGCAAGGATGATGCTACGTTCAGTCCTGAGCTTGTCAACAACCTTGGAAAGTCTGGTGCTGTTGTGGCAAGACTGATGGAACCTTTTGTCGACAAAGGATACCACCTCTATGTTGATAACTGGTATTCAAGTGTGGACTTGGCACGGTATCTTGCTGACAAGGGAACGATGGTGTGCGGGACCATCAGATCCAACCGCCGTGGATTGCCGAAGCGCACCGTTGCGTACAAGGGCCTGAAGAAAGGCGAGTTTGTGTTCCGGAGCTGGAACGGCATCATCTTTGTGAAGCTCTCGGACACAAAGGTTGTCCACTTCCTTTCCACCCTTCACTCTGCTGAAGTCGTGGACACTGGGAAGCGCGACTTGCACCGCCTCCCGATTCGCAAGCTGGCGCTAGTACACGACTACAATCTGTTCATGGGCGGTGTCGATAGAAATGATGAAATGCTTTCTTTCTACACCTGTGCCAGGAAAACCCAGAAGTGGTACAAGAAGCTTGCCGCCCATCTGCTGGAGGAGTGCATGCTCAACGCATTTGTGCTGCACAAGAAGTTTGCCACGACACCAAGGAAACACACCGACTTCATTACCATCGCATTGCAGGCCATGCTCCAGGATGGGAAGAGCGGGTGCACTGCTGCTGCTGCTGCTGCTCCAGCTACACCTGTGCCACGTACCGTCATGATGGCCGCGCATATGCCAGCTTGCATTCCTCCCACCGCAAAGAAGGCAACGCCGACAAGAGTTTGCCGGTACTGTTCGAAGACGAAGGGTGTGCGGAAGGAGTCACGCTATTGCTGTTTGCAGTGCCCCAATCAGCCTGGCCTGTGTGCTGCACCATGCTTTTCTCTTTGGCACCAGTGAGCTTCTGCCAATGTAAGTATATAATTATAATCGGATGGAGCCTGTTGGAGTGCGCATCCTAGATGTGCTGGAGCTGTTAGCCAGTTAGTTGTAGAACGTCAGTACCGTCGGTCAGTGTCGTGGAATGTTATCACATGAGCTGATTGTTTAGTAACTGGTGGTGTTAGTGGACATTATAGTGTAACTTGTAGTTTCTTGGTTCTTTTCCTTTACTATAAATATATATATCTGCAATGTGGACTCTGGTCGCCTGCAGAATTGAAATTATCATTGTTCTGAAAAGCTAGTGCCTTCGCTGTTTTTCTTCAATACTCTGGTTGTATATAATAATATATTTTTTGCACGATCTAGCTGGTTCTCCTGTTCTCCTGTTGTGCTGTACATATTAGACTGATGGTGGACTTGCGTCCACTTGTGTATTGTTTGCTCTGCTGCTGGAACAGTACAGGTGAACTCGAATATCTGTATTTGCCGTCCCTTGCCGCATTACGCCTGCATCATTGTTTCCTTGTCCGCAAACGCTGGTGATGTATCTTCTTCATTAGTGCTAAGTAGGGCACAAAGAAGGCTCTTGCTACATCAATACATTCTGCTCCTAGTAAAACCTGTGCTCGCAGTCGAACAGTGTACCGAAAAATGTTTTTGGGCAACCTAGACTAAAATCCACGTTGAAATAGGTGAAATGCGCAAAATTTGATTTTTTTATATAGGCTCTGGGAGACTGAGTTTTTGGTTCAGGTTCATTCCAGCGTTGTTTTCTGTCCATACGATGACCCTGCTACACAGAACAACAAATTAAATAGTCAAATTAGGCAATTCAGATTTTGCCGAAAATGTATGCAGAGGATGGGTGCATATCCCTATAGCGCTAAATGGGTTAAAGGGGAAGTTAAGCCTAAAATCAAAATTTCACCAGTTGTAGTCTTCAGGGTGCTGAGTCGAATGGTCTTGGTCCGAGGAAGCTGAGACACTCCCTTCCTTCTTTATTCCCAATCGAACTCACGCACTTCCACCGAAACTGGGTGATTGCGCCCTACTAGATGGGGATTTGTATGCAAAATGTCACTAAAAGCGCCATTTCGTTCTTATAAAAGCACGGGTGACCAGGATAGGCCCATATGTTGTACACTTTTGGACGCTGAGTCGACTGGTTTTGGTCCGAAAAGGCTGCGATGTAGCGTTCGGCCCCTATTCCCAATCGAACATGGCTGAACAAGCGGTCACGTACTCCTGCGTGCACCAGTCACCTGGTCACCGTGCCTGCAGGCTACAACTTACCGCATGTTTGGCCGAGTTTCTGTCACTCGAGTTGAACCTTTTAACTTTTGAGTTGAACCTCGGTGTGAAAGTTGTCGCCTACTGGCGTGGTGACTAGGTGACTGGTGTACGCAGGAGCACGAGACCGCTTGTTCAACCATGTTCGTTTGGGAATAAGGGCCCAACGCTGCAGCGCAGCCTTTTCGGACCAAAACCAGTCGACTCAGCGTCCAGAAGACTACCACATATGGGCCAGTCGCGGTCATCCGTGCTTTTATAAGAACAAAATGGCGCTTTTAGTGACATTTTGCATACAAATCCTCATCTAGTAGGGCGCAGTCACCCAGTTTCGGTGGAAGTGCACGAGTTCGATTGGGAATAAAGGAGGAAGGGAGCGTCTCAGCTTCCTCGGACCAAGACCATTCGACTCAGCACCCCGAAGACTACAACTTGTGAAAATTTGATTTTAGGCGTGACTTCCCCTTTAAGTTAGTACAACCGGATTCAGCCGAGTGATCAATGTTATTTGTGTGTCACACTCAATGACATAACACACTTTATGGCCGGTAAGACCATGGTCGTACCTTGTTTTCATCCGACGTAGTCTGCCCAATTCATCCAAAAAGCAGTGAAAATTTCATAAGATCATGCACTTCTACTTCGAAGTACATGCACTTGTACATAACTTACACTGTGCACATAACTCACGGAGTTGACTTGGAGTAGACCAGGGTATGCATATGTGCCCTTTACTGGTACTGTTCTGTCTGGACCCATGGTTGTTGCCAGTAGACTAGTATACCGAGTCCTAGGTAGTTGTATTTAGTGCTGGGTGCTATGTGCTATGTAGTTACATTGACTGTTGCTGCAGTGTCCATGTAAACATGGTAGTCTACATGTACATGTATGTCTTCAGCTCACACACACACACACACAGAGTCACAAAGACAGTATACTAAGCAACGAACACCTAGCCTGCAGGATACCAGTTGATCAGCTATGGTAGATGTACGAGGCGTTGACATGTC